TCAAAGTGAAAATATTTCAAAACTCTAGGTGTAAGTGAAGAAAGGGTAATCTTTGTCTTAGCAATAAATCCCCAAATTCCATTTTGATCCTTTCTCCGTTGCAAAGAGTGGCAGAGGGAGATAAAATTAAGAGCAGAAGGCATTTCCCAGGGTCTGATCCCTGGGGCAGGGGAAGGAGAGGACCAGGCAGGCAGCTCTGAAGCCCTGGGTACCCAAGCAGCGAGCGTGCCCTGCGTGTCTGAATCTGTGGCTGTCTTGAAGAGGAGGAAGGCCTAGGCAATCTGGGGAGGCCTCTGGGCTTGGAGGTCAGGCCTATCTGCCACCTGTCAGACCCCAGGTATCAAAAAGACATCTGCTTTAAGGAGTGTTGCTGCTGCTTCTCCCAGTCTGTGCATCAGAAACCAAACGTTAGACCTTCTGCATTTAAAAAAAAAAAAAAAAAAAGGGAGGGGGCGCCTACCCCTCCCCTGGGACACGCGCGCTTACTTGCCGCTGCTGGGTCTCCCGCCCTGCGCCACCGAATCCCATTCAGCAGCAAAGATCTGCGCAGAGGAGCTGCGCAGTCGCCGGGCTTGAATTAGGCGCCATCGTGCTCGGTAGTAGCCCTGCTGCTCCCTGATTGGCAGCTCCCTGGCCCGGTGCCAGCCTATTGGGAGGCCTGTTTACGTCGAATGAGTGGCACAAGCTCTCGGCCGCGGAGGACCGCGCGGCCAATCAGCGTGCCGGCTGCTCAGGGCTGAGTGGCACGAGCTTATTAGTATGCGGGGCCCGTGGCTCGCCGCACCAGGCTGCAGGTTTGAGAGCCGCTCTGGATGGGCTCGCTAGAGTCGTTGTTGTGGAAGCGGTGCATTTACAGTGCAACAGTCAGCACACTGAAAATACCAATAGGAATACAAAACAAAGTCACATTTACTGATTTAATTGTATTGCATTCAGTTGTATCCAGGAAACAGCCTCCAGTAAGTAACTAAAATTGCTTTCATTTTTTTAATTTTTGTATTTTTATTATTTTATTTTTAATTTTGGCTTTGGGGATTTACATTTTTTTAGCAAAAGAAATTCAGGGTTGTGATGTTAGAAATATATATATTCCCTTTTTAAAAATCCGTTATAATATGGAGAAGGCTTAAAAAAAGATGGACTATATTTAAGCGATTTTTTTCTCTGAAAAAAATCTTATCGATCGGTTTAAAATTACCCCCGTAATGCGTCCTTGCTTTGCTCTAAGCGCTTGTTGTCTCGATCGACACTCAGCATTAAAAATAAATACTTGAGATGCGACAGGGACTGCCAGGCTGCGTCAAGCGTGAGCCATGCGGGTGGCACCGGGCTGACAGTTGGCGAGATCTGGGCGCCGCCAACGTGCGCCCAGCTTGGGTAGAACTAACGAACCCCAATTATTTGCTCCCCTATCCCGCTGCCCTCCACAGAGCAGTCCAGGGTCGGCCCCGCCCGGTTGCTCAGCCGAACACGGCATCTGCCAGCTCACCCAGGCCACGGCCGCTACCCAGAGGAGCTTTCCGGGCCATAGCGAAGGGAGGGGGAGGGGAGAGGTATTGGCGAGTTATTCGGGTTTTGTTTTCCAGAGCTTAATTCATTTCAGAATATTTCTGAAAATGTTTTTCTATAGGAGTTGGGGTGGAGAAGGGGGGGCCAAGAGAGGCCGGCGCAGCGGGGCGTTTTCACGGCGCGCGTTTCGGGTGGCACTTGGGGCTGGACCACGGCCTGGGTGGCGAGGTGCGTCCTCGGGTGCGAGTATCCGGTGCGACCGCAACTCTCATTTCACCGGCACGATGCGGGTGGGGAGGAGGGTGCAGCCGTTTCGTAGAGAGCGGGTTCTGTGGCGGCGCCGGAGCCACCTGGGCCCGGTGCTCTCCTGGCCTGGCCCGGCCCAGCCTGAAGGCCTCAACGCGCCGGTGCGCCCCAGAGACCGCTCCAGAGGGATGAGGACGCGCCGGGGTCCTGGTCCCCAGGTGGCCGGCGAGGCTACAGAAGACTTTTAGGTGTAACAGTAGAAAACAAAGCAACCTGAGAAAGCCTTAGATCTTTGAGCGCGCTAGCCACATCTCTGGCCGCGGGAGGAAGGGACTGGGGGTCGCGCCCTGCCACCCCAGGAAAAACCTGGGTGTTCGGAGGCTCAGCTCCTTCAGAAATGCCCTAGTCAGCGATTCTCTGGCCGGAGCGGGGCTCTCTGCCTGCCGCCACTTTCGCTTCGTTTCCTCCGTAGATCAGCCCTATCCCGGCTGTGGCGCGGTCCTCGCGGTCCTCCGCAGGGTGCCCTCTTGGAGCAAGGGTGGGGACGCGGGTGGACTTGGGGCATCCTGCTCCAGCCCTAGCTGCGGTGGCCGTTTGCCCTTGCCTGGCTTCCTGTCCAGCTCTGGTTCCCCAGGCCGCGGGAGCCGGGTGCTGGCAGAGGAGTAGGAGGCACGGCGTGGCCTCTCCCCGGGAGGAGAGTACACAAAGAAAAGGCCTCTCCAATCCAGTAAGCCTCGCAGGGGCGCAGGCGGGCGACAGTAATCCACCCCCTTTTTGCTCAAAAAGTCGAGCGGGCTAGTAAGATAAGAACAATCGAGTCTGCGATCCGCCCTCAAGGGGTGAAAGATTAAAATTGCTGCTTGGTAGCCCAGCCCGCGTCCGGAGAAGCGGAGGCAGCTCGCGCGCTCTCGATAACTTTGAAATTTCTTCTCTGGGGGGAAAAAACCCACCCACAAAACAAAAGCTCAGCGTACACTACTCCCAGGAGGCCGCCGGGAAGCCTCGCAGCCCTCTGCTGCGCAGCCCTGGCCCCTCTTGGGCCCTCGGCGCCTTTGAAGCTGCGGGCTCCTGACCTCCCTCCCCTTCCTTTCCCTTTGTCCCACCATGCGCCCTCTGGGGCTAGAGAAGCACCGGCCGAGGCTGAGGCCCGCAACCGCCCAGAGTGGCCTGGGCAGTGCCTCCCCTGACCCAAGCTCGAGCAGCCGCTCGCCCAGTGCTCTCCGGACCCCGGCGGCCTGGCGCTCGCGTTGCAGGCCGGCGCTGCGGCCACACTGTTTGTTAGACCGGGGGAGAGTGTTGGCCATCTCTAGAGAGAATCCGGGAGCCCCAGGCCCCTTTGTATGCAGTTAAGAGACACAGAGAACTCTTTGTGTCGTTTATTTACAATGCAAAAGCTTTCCGAATAAATATTAAAAAAGCTTATCAGCTGAGCAAATATGTATTCACTTAATACATTATGTTTTCGGTTTTAGATTAAATCAAACGCGAAATAGTCTGCAAATAAGATATTGGAGAACCCGTAGCATAAAATATAGCAATTTAAAATGGTAGTCACAAAATAAAAAACAACTTAATCGCTTTGTTGTCACGGTGGGACGGCTGGAAAAAAAACATGAGTTTTTTTGTGAACTTCATAATTAAGAATATTGAGCCCATACATCCCTCTTTGGTTGGAGGTGATATCAAACATTAAAAGAATATGTATTAGTAAATGAAGACAAGGAGAGAGCCTTTGGAGGGATGCACGGACATGCCGCGTGCAAGCTATATGGATTTGCTCTGGCGCTCCGCACCCAGAGTCTGAAATTGTCCCGGATTTTGCCTCTGAGTGGACGCTCTGCGTTGGGTAGGGCTGCAAGAGAAGGGCGGCGAGCGTTAATTTTATGCGGCTCTGCTGGAGGAGTTGGTGGATGACCGAGGTCTTAAGTCTACTGAGACCCAGAGGCAAGGTTGTGCCGGGCGGGCGTGCCCATCCTCCCTGACTGGACACAGACGCTGCATGCCCAGCCTCCCATCCACGCGGAGACCGGCCTTGGATTGGTGATCTCCGTAGGCACTAGAAGGAGAAATCCTGTGGACGATTTGGGACCAAAAGCCAGAATAACATTCTGACTCTTCACCACCCCACCAAACCCCAAATACGCAGAGGAAGATCTTGGGCGAATTTGATGGGGGGGGGAGGGCGGGTTGATTGTTAACAGCCTCGCCAGGAAGCTCCAGGCTCCGGGACAGCAGGCCAGGCACTGCGGCTTGGCGGCCCAGGTGATGGCGGTGGCTGTCGCAGGGCTCCAGGGAGGCGGCTTGGGGTCCGGGTGTGGTGGGGGGGGCGGGGGCTGGTCCCATTGCGGCTGGGGGACGATGGATTCAAAAGAATGGACCGAAAGACTTATGGGGGGGGGATGGGAAAGGAGAGAAAGGAAGGTTATAAAAAAAAAAAGTCGAGTTACAATCAATAAAATTACTCGCTTAATTAGCGTGGTTATTCGGTTAAGCGGAATGCAGTAAAAGCCGGACCTTGGAGTGACTGTGGGAGAGGAAAGAGCGAGAGCGGACTCCAGGCCTTTTCCTTCGAGACACCTTTGGGCAGCGGGGGAGGGGAGAGGGTGTGCGTGTGAGTGTGTGTGTGTCTGTGTGTGTGTATGTGCGCGAGTGTGCGTGATGGCTTCGCAGATTTGGGTTTTTATCACCCAGTCGAGCCAGCAGCCTCTTCGCAGAGGCGTCCTAGCTGCAGGGACCCGCGGAGACAAGAAGAAGCAGCGGGCAGTGCGGCCGGCTTCCCCCGGCTCCTCGGAGCCAGGCGTGGCCTGGACGGTGCGTGACGCGTGGGGACCCGAGTGCCGGGTACCCGGAGTAGCCCGGCGCGCGCGCGTGTGCAGCAGGGAGACGCGCCGTGCACTCCGGGCCCGCCGCCTAGCCGCGGCTCAGGCCGGCGCCTGGGAGGGGATAAGCGGGCGGGGCAGGGACCCTCCCCCCGGGCTAGCCGAGCCCCCGAGTCACCGAGTATCCTCTGCTTGCCTCCGCAGATCATGGACCCGCACGGTGGCCGCCGGCTCTGTGTGCGACCGCCCTGTAAGAAGCCCAGTCCGCCAGCGTGCTGACCAGCCCCGCCGCCACCGCTGCCGGTGACTCCAGACGCCGCCGCCTCCGCGCCGCCCGCGCGCCGAGCCGCCCCTGGGCCCCGGCCGCGCTGCTCTGGGAAAGCGGCGGCGGACCGGGGCCGGGGCCCGGCATGGATGGCCGCGACTTCGCGCCGCCGCCGCATCTGCTGTCTGAGCGCGGGAGCCTGGGCCACCGCAGTGCTGCCGCCGCGCGCCTCGCCCCGGCCGGACCCGCTACACAGCCCCCCGCGCATTTCCAACCCGGAAAGTACTTCCCGTCGCCGCTGCCCATGGCTTCTCATACAGGTCAGTGCACGGCCGGGGTCGGCTCCGGGGACGTTCGAGAGTCGAAGAGGGCCCCCGCCCCTCCGCTCCTAGGAGCCGCGTGTGCGGAGCAGCTTTGCTTTCATTTCCCTGCTGGCGCGTTGGTGGCGGCCTGGCTGCCCAGCGCCCTGCCTGCCCCACAAGCCGGATCTCCGCGGTTTAGAGCGGCCTTTCCTGGTCCCCGCAGGGGGTCTCGAAGGGGCAGCTCCAGAGCCGGCTGAAATTAAAGCCTTTCCTCTTCTTGCCACCCTCCCCCATCCCTTCCTGCAGAAGATCTAAATTCCGTGGAAACCTCTTTCTGCCTTCTGCATTCACCTCCTTTAGGCGGGACAACGAGGCGCTTTCTGCGGGAACAAAACGGCTGTGGCAGCGGGGGAGGGGGCCGGAGCAGCCGCGGCCTCGCGGATTAGGGCGGTGCGCGCGGGGCGAGCGTTAATAGGGACTGCTGGTGTAAGACGAGCAAATCCTGTTTCTATATAAAGCCTTGAAGTGTCAGGGCGAGAATGGGTTTGCCGGGGATGCATTTGCTTTAACAAGTGCCTCTGGTATCCTGCTAAAGCCGGACAAAGCGTGGCCAGAGCGCTCGGCCTCGAAGCCCGTCCGAGGAAAGCAGAACCTGGGCACTGGAAAGCCTGGGTGGCGCCTGGCGCGCTAGGGATTTCGGTGCAGGCGAGTGAGCCCTGGGTTTGTCCTAGGAGGATAGTGCTGGCATTTGCCGGGAATCCGGTTGCTGGCCTCTCAGATCCCTCACCCCAGAGGGTCTTTCCTGGCAGAGCAGGTCCAAGCCTCCAGAGCAGTCATCTTCGGTGGCTTTGATATTAACGTTGAGGGAGGTCAGAAAAGGGGCAGCCACCGTTCCGCCTGACACCCGGAGGTCATGGGGCCTGCAGCAAGAGTTTTTGGGAAGACCTGGGGCTGAGTACAGGGCCCCACTGGGTCACCCGCAATTTGGCTTGCTTTTGTTTACAGTTTGTTCTAAACATCAGAAATGTTTGCCGCTTTAAAAAAAAAAATTGGCAGTAACAGTTATTATTGCTAGCTTGATGAACTGTGAATACTAATAAAATTTTATCTGCTTTAATGGGATTACAATTAGTGTGTGGATTAAAACGGATGGCACAGACGGCTAGGAGGGAAAACGTCGGAAGAAGGGAGGGCAGTCAAAAAGAAAAACATACATTTCCTAGGAAAAAACAAACTCAAAATTGCTAATTACAAACTGGCTTCAGGCTTTCAGCATTTGCAGCGGGAGGAGACCGTGCAGAGGGGCTGACTCGGGGCTCCTACTTCCGGCCTCTCAGTCCTGCGCTGGCAACGGCTGGATCCTTCCAAGCCTGACCTTTCCTCTTCCTTAGGCTTCCTCCTTCCTTTTTCTCTCTTTTTTCTCCCCTACATTTATAACTGAAAAGAGAAAAACTACATGCTTGAGCAATTGGTGATTTAAAAATATCTCTCCCTGTTGTCCCTGTGGTTATTAAATGTCTCTTCTGCCCCCGCATGAGAACAGGAGGTGCTGCCCACCCAGCTCAGGTGCCCTGGGGAGTTGAGGCCGGAGGGACAGTCCCCCAGCTTCCCTTCCAATCTCTTCTTGGGCTTCAGGTTGGGGGTGGGTAGGGAGCACCTGTGCTGTGCCCCTCAGCATGCTGGATCCTCTAGCCTGGCAGGCAGTAACACCACAGAGACAGCTAACCTTGGCTTTTAACTGTTGTGCACAGGCAGGCTGGGACAGTCCCCTGGGAAGGTCGGGCCAGATTCCCCCTCAGTTCAGGTCACTTCTGCCTCCCTATCCTCAGTTACCCGCCCATAGCCTAGCCAGGTCTTGATTAGCCACCATCTGCCCTTTCTGCCCTGATTTCCAGATCTAGGTAATACCCAGTCAGGTGGGAATGTGGTCCTGGTTGGGTGGCACAAACCTTTGTCTGACTCTTTCTAAGTTTGACCACGTGGTTCCTGGCGTGTAGGCCGTATAGGGTGTGAGCACTTGCTCTGGCCTTGTCTGAGTCCTGCCATGCTGTTGCTTGACCCCAGGCCCTCCTGGCCTCCCCAGCCCAGGTTGCTCTAGAGGGCGCTGGAGGCCCCTCAAGACCTCCTCCTTTGGGGGCTGGAGGGCCACGTGTCCCCCACTCCTGGAGGCCCAGTTTTCACCCTCTTGGAGACCGAAGAAACCTATTGTACTTGAGACATTCAGCCTGTTTGTGAAGGGGAGTTTGACCGCAGGCGACCAGCTAAGAAGCATCTGTAACTGAAAGAAAGCCTTTTGAAATAGCTGAGACCCAGGATATCTTACTGGTTTTAAATTTTAGGTGCATATATTTTTTAAAGGAATTACGCCCCAGATCACTTTGCTTTGGTCTGTGTCTCTATGTGATCTTGTTTAGGAAAAAAAAAAAGTTTAAATAAGTTAAGTAATTTTTTGTGTGTCTGTGTGTGGATTTCACAATAGCCAGTTTGGTGGACTTTCTTCCCATTTTCCTGGATGGCCTCGGTCCACAGGCCACAGCTGCAGCAGCCCAACCCTCTCCCTCCCGCCACCAACTGCCCTGCTAAAGAGAAAATTGCTCTGTGAGATTTCTGTCCGGCTCCAACACAGGATTAGGACCCAAACTATACTCTCCCTGAGACTGGCTGGCTTTGCATAGCCCCCAGGCTGGGCTGAGGTGTCCGCAAGTGGGTCTGTGCTGCCCTTCTGCATGCCCACCCTGCACTTCGAAAACACTAGCCTGAGACACCCTGATGGGTGGGGACCTTGGGTTCCAGGGCTTCTTCCATTGTTTGTCTAAAAATGAAAGTGTTGGTAGCGTTATAATCGGGCTTGTAGGGTTTTTATGATAAAGTGCTGTTCCAGTAACCTTGTCACCAAAAGGTGCAATTAAAATGTTTGGAATCATTATTTTTAGTGCAGTGTTAGATTTTGTTTCTAATACAGATGGTCTGGAGGCAAAGCTGTGAAATCTGGGGGGGGGGGGGTAATCAACAAGAACCAACCCAAGATTTTTCATCAGCAATGCTGCCTGCAGCTATTGGGGCACTTTCCTCTCCACCAGGGATCGAGGGATTGGTTGATCCGAGGCAGCTGGGCCAAATGGAAGTGTGGCTGTGGCCCCTCCCTGCTTCCCTGGGCCACGGACACTGTCACCCTCATCTGTCCCTTCCCTCCAGGGACCTGGGTTTCACAGCTGGGTTCTAGTAGTCTGCTCAGATTCCCCTCCCAGCCCCTTTTCTTGTCTTCTTTGAGGTATAATTAGCCTGGCCTGGGAAGCCAGGTGACCAGGGCTTGGGCTTGCTGCAGGTGAGGCCCCTTCTGGTGAGATAACTGCACAAAGTGCTTCCTATGGACGATCTCCAAAAAAAAAAAAAAGAAGAAGAAGAAGGAAAAAGAAACAAAAAAGAATCCAACTCGGAGGAGAAAAAAAAGATAATTTCCTAGTCTGAAAAGACCCCATGAAAGGCTTCCCCACCCTCATCATGTGATATTTTTTTGTAAAGAAAAAAAATACATTTTCGTAAATACCTCATTAACTCCCTGACAGGATGGAGTGTGTCTGCAACAGTTACCGACATTAAGTAGGTGTGAAAAGAGTTACTTTCTGAAGACTACCCGTCCTGCTCCGTAAGAGACAGAGCTAGACATCAAAGCTGCTGCGGGGAATCTGGTGGCCGTGTAGACTGGGAGGCTGTGCCCGCCACGCCTGCCCCACCAAAGCCGTTTTTGGAATGTGGGGTTTTTCTCACTGGGGCTTGTGCTGCAGCCATGCCTGAGTATTCCTGTAAGGAGATGATGCGTTTTCTGTAGGAATATCCAGGTCACGTGAGCAATAAGGCAAATTAGTGAGCGAAGCAGGGAGCGGCGTTGTGCAAATAGTACAGCTCCCCTAGAAAACGTGCGCACCCCCAAACGCTGCCCAGTTATTCTTAGAAATCTCCCTCATCTCCCTGTGAGACAGGGTTCAACAGCCGCACAGACAGGACAAAACGCATAGGAGGCTGTTAGAATAACATGGATGAAGCTAAAAATACCCCTCAGAAACACACATAAAAAAGCCAAATCCAACAACAGAATGAGCTAAAAATATTCCAGGCTTTGGCAAAGAGCACAGAGTTAAATAAATTATACAAGAGCCATTCATGGGAGCGAGTTGACTTTCTCTCTTACGGGAACTTAGTTCAAGCTAATAAAAATAATAATTTACTAGCCACTGAGCTTCGCATGGGTTTAAATTTAATTGGTGGGGCTTCTGGCATTTGTCACTTCTTAGCGATTAGTGAGTGGGCTTGCCCTGGCCTGGGTGAAGTGGGGGGTGTCTGATGCTCAGTCCCTGGCAACAGGGACATTGTCCCCTGAGGAGCAGGGCATGGGGGAAGGGCAGGATGTTCAGGAGGCCAGAGGAAGGGGAGGCACCTGGGTGTTGGTCCAGGAAGGCAGAAAAGGAACCAGCGAGGCACGGCTATTTTAATTTGATAAATGATCGTACACCTTTAAGAGTGTGTTTTAACAATCAAGATACACTCCAGCAAGTTGATAGGATGTTCGCTGTCAACTTACATATGTCATCAGAGTGGCTGTGAGCATGAATCACGTGCACGCACTTGCGATGCCCTGTGGTCTCTCAGAGCCCAAGGCGTGGCTGACAGCATCCCATCCCCTGGTAGGCACCTCTCTCTTGGTGTCTGGGGACAAGGGCCAGAGGAGAATAGGAATGGGGGTCACTGAAAGCTTTTTTCAACTTGGGTGATTTGGGCTGGTTCCCTCATCTCTGGGGAACACCAGGGCTACTTGATCAGAGAAGATCACTGTGTGAGCCAAGGCTGGAACAGCTTTTTAGGTAGCAGATTTTTTTTTTTTTTTTTTTTTTTTTGAGACAGAGCCTCAAGCTGTCCCCCTGGGTAGAGTGCTGTGGCATTACAGCTCACAGCAACCTCCAACTCCTGGGCTCAAGCGAGTCTCTTGCCTCCGCCTCCCAAGTAGCTGGGACCACAGGCGCCCGCCACAACGCCTGGCTATTTTTTGGTTGCAGCCGTCATTGTTGTTTGGCGGGTCCGGGCTGGGGATTCGAACCCGCCACCTTAGGTGTACGTGGCTGGCGCCTTAGCCAGTTGAGCTATAGGCGCCAAGCCTAGGTAGCAGATATTTAAATGTAGCCACTTCCCAGGAATTTTCCACCTTGGGGTATGGCCCAGAGTGTCCCCTTTACTGTCTTCTGTTTCTTGGCTGTCCCTTAAGTAAATGCCCCCCAGAAATTCTGGCCAGACCCTTCCAACACCAGAAGACTACACTTCCCAGAACACCTGGCGTACTAGCCCCAGGTTGGAAGGAAACCTTGGTCCTCACCCCTTATACCCCTTCCTCCTGGGATGGACTCTGGGCCTCCCTATCATAAATATCTGAGTATAGGTCGTCAACAATTGGGGGCTGTCCTGTGCCCCCTGTGGACCCAGTCCCCCAGGAGAGTCTCAGCAGACCCCCTGAGCTTAGCCTACACCTGTGCCCTCCTTTTGGACTGGCCTCCTCTGAGGAGCCTGGTCACTCCCACCAGGGGCTGGGATAGAAGGATGTGGAGACTCCACCTGGAGCGGGGGTGCCCCCCCTCCCCTCGTAATATCCTCACACAGCAGTATCTACCCTCAATGATGGGTTTCCGGGAAGATGCCACCACCCAGGACAGAGGTACTGCCTCAGGCCCCGTTGGAGGAAGGTAGGCCTGGCCAGTCCAGAGAGGTTCTGAGACCCTTGAAGAGGCCCTGGGAGGTCTCTCCTTTGAGTGCCGTCCTTGCAGCCTCCCTCAGAGCAGGCTGCGGAATACAGAGCACGTGCCTGTCTGCTGGGCAAGTAGGTGACTCACTCTGCGGGGCTCCCACCTTCCCAGCCCACCAGGGAACAGCTCCCTTGGGCTTCCCTGGTCCCCGTTAACCTCTGGGACTTCGTTTCCCCTCACCAAAAACATGGTATAACAAGCAAAAAATGAAGTCACAGATAGCATGAGATGTCCAGGATAAACCCGCAGCCCAGGCCATGACTGGGAAGGACAAGGCCTCGGAAGGGCCAGCTGCTCCGCTCTGGCTCTGACGCTCTGCCCGCTGACATTTTT